TCCTGTCAAGCCAATCTTGTTTCCACCAAGGGCCATTAGAAGAAGACCCCAGCTGTCCTGCTTTTCAGCAGTACTTGCAAAAAATTACAATTACGCCCACTGTTATTACTGCAATTTATAAAGCCATATTAAAATGCTGAATCTCAGGTAAGGGCCCCATAATTTAGAGCTGAAATTGATGCAAAGGGAAAAATATGTGCAGGACTCACAGGTAAGCGAGTTCATTGGATCCACTGATTTGAATTGGATATTCAGGTAATGAGGCTGTCATTAATTTTGTACCGACATAGCTATGATTTAAATGAAAGATACTAAGAGGACTACTATTTCACTCTCATTTCTAAGGGGCCACTTCCACCTGGAAATCTGGACAGTAATCCTCCTGGGCTTCACCTCACAGGCCTCCCAAAGCCAGCCCTGTCCAACTGAGTTTTAGCCTCCAAGTTTGGCCTCCACATCAGGTTGAGTTTATTTCTGCCCCTGAAACCAGGCGGTTGTCTCCTTTGTAGAGGTTTGAAAGAAGAGTAGATAAGGAGGGAACTCGGGCTTCCAAGGACAGCGATGCTTGCCCTTGTGGAATAGCACACAGTGGCAGAGAATGTGGGCCCTGAACACAAATCTCAGTTCTGCCTCACTTCAGTTGTGCGATCTTGGAAAATCACCTAACTCTCTTGGCCTCAGATTTATCTATAAAATGGGAACAGTAATAGCTTTATGCCAGGGTACTTATAAGGGTTAAATGGGTTACACTTTGTAAGCCGATCTCAATAGTGCTGAGAATGCTGTAAATGCTATATATGGCTGCTGTTAACAAATTAATTAGGTAAACAGGGCCCTTTGGAAATGTACCAAGTCTAACTGCCTTCAGGCAGGGCCACTCCAAACTACAAAGCTATCTACCATCTGAGCCTGTCCGAGCTAAATGGCTCCGGCTTCTACATGTCCCCCAGGGTCAGGCCCTCCTAGGAGAGGTCACCAGCTAGAAAACCACGCTGGTGACTGTATCAGTCATATGGACTCGAGGAACAGACAAGATGCACAAATGTATATGAATTCACAAGACTGGCTCACAATGGCGCCCACAGAGTCAATGAGGAAGGGTGCAGAGGGTCTGTCTGCACACTGGAGACTAGGATTCAGTCGAAGGCCTGGAGCTCACTGCAGTGCCCCATGTGAGTCCGTACCAGGAGGCCAATGGGTCTGGGATGGAAGGCTGAAGAGTCTGCACCGGAAGCTGAAGGATTCGCTCCGGAAGCTGGAGAGTCTGCGCTGGAAGCCAGGAGATGACGTCCAAGGCGAAGACTGGAGCTCCTCGGAAGGAACAGAGGCAGAGCCTCCTTCCTCATTTCCCCTTTGTACCATCAAGCCCATGAGCCGCCCTAGGTGGAGTCCTCCATGCCCCAGAGTGTGGAATTGCTGAGCTGATTTAGCCAAGCTTCACTTAACCAACTTCTCAAGTTGACACCATCACTCAACCGTCACAGTGACTTATCCCATCTGTCCTTGTCACTTCCTTCTTCTGTTGTCCCCAAATTCCTGCACTGCCTGGGGTGACATCGAGACTTGTGCTACTTGGTCTGCTAGTGCCATGCTTTTGCACTGGATCTGTGGTTTATTTCATGTTATTGTTGCACTTGTGGTTGTTGAAACCAGGCGCTGGGCATGCACGCTGACACGGTAGGAGAGCTGTCATTCTGTGGAATGCCACAGAAAAGTGGGCGCCCCATAGGTGGACTTTCCAACTCCTGCTTTTATTTTGGGACTCCCTGATGGTCCCTCACCTCACCATTAGGCATTCTGAGTCTGGGAGGAATAGAGGACAACTTTGAAGCTCACAGCTTCCTTGGTCCATGGGAGCCGTGCATTGGCCAGGCATCTGGACCAAACAGGCTGGAGCCAGATCAAGCCCCCACCCCACCCTGGGCCCGGTAGAATGGAAGAGCTCAGATTATGAGTTCCAAAGCCCTGGCTTGGACCATGATAAGTCTTCGATCCCCCTGTGATGGGATAGCTTAGTTCAGGTTCGGCACCAACAACATCTTCTGTTCTGGGTTAGTCTTAGCTCTGCCTTTGAGAGTTATACATCTGATTCTGGCTTCTACTGGTTTATTAAAAGATTGAAGTTGCAGACAAAGAATTTTTAAACACTTCTGACTAGGTCTCTGATTCAGTAAAAAGCTCCTAGTTGGGACTAGCCCTAACTGAATGCAGCACCGTATGCTGTAAGTTGCCTTTGGTTCAGTTCCACGTCTAACCTGACCACTGCCTGGTCCCGGGCACCACAGAGAGAAGGCTGGGTCTATAGCTTTCCTTCCTCCTCTGACTTCATGCCCAGATCTTGCTGCAGATCCAGGTCAAGCCCCAGGCTTATGGAAAGGCCCACTGGCCGCCTGAGCCAGGAGGTCCTGGCCAGGCCTTCGAGACAGCTGACTCTGCAACTCCTAAGCCAGCACCTCTGGGAGACCTCAGACTCCCTAGAAAGGAGCAGCTGTCATGGGAGGGTGGGGAGGTACTGAGATGTCCCCTTCATGGGCAGGCATCTTCAGACTTGGGCAAGAGCAGACCAGAGCTCCCAAGGCCGTGGAAGAGAAAACCGGGGCTGAGCCAGCCAGAAGCCATGGCCACCACAGCACCCACCACCCACTCCCTCCTGTAGTTACCCAAGAGCTCTAGTGCCTCAGACCGACTGCATTTCTCCAGGCAAAGGCCTGGAGTGTGGAAAGCCCACTCCTGAGGTAGAAAAACAGAGCAAAGGTGGAGTTGAGGGGAAAGCGAGTAGGTATGAGGGGCAGGAGTGGCTGAGAGAAGGCTGTGTTTGGTTCCACTGACATTTCCTCCTCAGCCTCCAGCCCAGATCCCCTAGCTAAGCAGGGAAAGAGGAGAGTGGCCCAGGCATGGTAGGGCCTAGGCCTGGCCTACTGCTCATATCCCTGGGGTTGGGCACAGGAGCCTCAGGAGGGGTCTGCTGTTTCTGCCACTGGAAACTCCAGATCCAGAGCTGCCAGCTCCGCCATCTGCTTCCCACCCTCCCTGGTCCAACCCAACCCCACAGTGCTGACCATACCCTGTCTCCGCCCCTCGAGTCCGCCAGTTCTCAGGAGGGTGGAGAAATCGGGATGGAAGCCCCTGCCGGCCCCATTCCCCCAACCCTGAAATAAATACTGCCAGTGACTCTTGACTGAGCCAGTGAGAACTGAAAATGCTTCCGTTCGTCCCACCTTCCCCCTCTGCCATGATGTTGAGCACCCAGCTTGGCCTGGGGTTGAATAAGTCGTGGTGCTGAGGAGAAATGGGCAGAGGGAAGAGAGGGTTAGTCCAAGAGTGCATGCAGAGGGCGAAAGGAAGGAGCAGGCTTGCTCTTCACATTTTTTTGCCCTGACTTTACTTAGCACTGGAGTCCAGGATACTCTGTCACTGGTGCCTGGTACACGTCCTTTCCACAAGCATGTCTCAAACGTTCCTTTTTATCCATCACACACTGGCTTCCCAGGCCCCCGAACATCCAGCGAGGGTTATAGGAGAAATGGAGAACACATCTTCACCTTCAAAATGTTGACAGAACTTAGGTCAGCTGAAGGGATCAGAGAACAACTCCAGTAGGTGCCGATACCTGTTTCTAGTACACATACATGAGCAAATCAGTTGTAATCCTGAGACCAAACGGTTGGGGGAAAAAGGCATCTGCATAGGAGCAATTAATTGGCCATTGGAAAGGTTGGAAGGCTTCCCGGAGGAGGTGGGGTTGAGTTAGAGAGTGTGTAGGTGGACAGAGGACCAAGCAAACCAACTAGGGCAGGGAGCATTGGTCAGAGGTCAGCTGCTTGGCTGGGAGAGGAAGCTGGAGACAGAGAACCTTCCAGCCAAGGCACCCTGCCCCCAGCTGTTTCCGTGACCTCAGAACCTCTCTCCTTGGAGCTGCGGCACTGTACATGCAGAAGCCAGCCTAGACTAGTACTTCTCAGCCCCCTGCATGAGCTGCACTGGCACTCCCGGGAGTTTGTTAGAAATTCACATGTGCAGGCTCTCCCCGCCCTGCTGAAATTCTGACGGAGGTCCCAGCCTTGTACGCAGCCAGGCTCTTGACCCCAAGGGCATACTGGTTTGAGAACGCTGGATTATATTGCTGTTCTCAATCCTGGCTGCTCATTTAATTCACCTAGGGAGCTTTTAAAACTCAATGAGGGTGCATAGACCCCACCCACAGAGATTCTGATGAATGCATCTGGCCCTGGCATTCGTATTTTTAAAAACTTTCCATATGATTCAACTGCACAATGAAGGCTGAGAAGTACAAGTCTTTCTTACTGTCCTGCAATGGGCTTGGGGAGGTTCAGCTGGGATTCCTGGACCACCACGTCCCACTGGGTGGACTCGAAGGTGATTAGAGCCTAAGTCTAGAGGAAGAAAGACTTCTTGAGGGCCAAGAGTTCTGAATCTCTCAGTGACCAGTGTTTATGGTTTGCACGTGTGCACTATTCCCCGCATCTGCCTGAAGCAAGGATACTTGAGGAGTTGCTGACTCTCCCACTGAAAGGTCAAATAGGTGTGCATAAACACACATTGGCTTGCACACACATGCATCCCATGGCACTGTAAATACAAACAGAGGCACACAAGAATCATCACAGTGTGGGCTGGGATGTGGCTCAGTGGCACCGCGCCTACCTGGCAAGTGCAAGGTCCTGAGTTTGATCCCCAGTACCAAAAAATAAATAAAGGAGAGAATCATCACAGAGGGATGGTCAGAATCATTCCTAAGGGCATATGAGCACATACAGATAAACCACCCTCAGCGATCCCAAGCCCAGCACACTCAGACTTCCAGGGAAGAATTCCTCTTGCTGAAAACTGGATGTTTGCAGTAAGTGGCTCTTCTTTCTACAGAGCAGCAATTGGAAGGAGCAGCAGTCATGATCAGTAAGCTACTTCCTCTAGGTGGAAGCAGGGAGCCCATTGGGAAAGCTGATGGAGATACTGAGGACACTCTTTTTCTCTCGTAGATTCGAGCTGATGGTCCCCCCCATGGTGGGGTCCAGTACGAGATGGTCTCTGTGCTCAAAGATGGGAGCCCCATCCTCCGGGACATGGCCTTCTCCATTGATCAGCGCTACCTATACGTCATGTCTGAGAGGCAGGTAAGAGCTCACATCCATCCCTCCTTTCCAGCTCTGGTAATCTGTAACTTTGTTCAGAAGCTTTTCCATCTCGAAGAGAGACCTCTGGGCTTGCTACACAGGCGCCCTGAGAGAGGCAGAGTCCCTGCAGGCTTCAACAGGGAGCCAAAGGGAAGCTGCCGGGGGCCAGCCACTTCCCAGAGGCTTCTCCCTTGTCCACAGCCATCTCAGCAAGTGATGAACAGCCTGCTGGAATGGGCCATACCGCACGAAGCAGCTTGGTATGATTAGGAGGTAGATTTACTGCTCTCAGGCCCACAGAGTCTGCTGCTCAAGGGTGCCAAAGAGGTGTAAATAATCCAGGCCTCCAGGCTGGGCTGGCTCCTGGGAGAGACAGACCCCAGATAGGGCCCCAGAAGGAGATAAAATTGTGGCCTGAGTCTTAGATTGGTTCGAGTTATAAGCTGGTCAGCTCTGGGAGGCTGAAACAATGCCTACAGAGCTGGAGAGCCCTGTAAAACCCACTTCTCCCCTCTGCTGGGCGGCATCCAAGCAAGTCCTCCTCCTCTTAGATGCCCCCAGAGTCCATTTCCCTGGCTGTGTGCGAGCAGAGCAGAGAAGGCCGGTGCACAGGGAGCTGTGTTGCAGGGAGAGAAGACGGGGGTTTCTCCAGATCACTGGGCATCCAGCAAACCCAGCAGCCTTAGCAAAAGCTAGTCCATTCCACTCACTAGGTCAGTGGGTTAACAGCTGCTCAGCAGCCATCTTGTTCTTATTGTTTTCCTGAGCAGAATGAGTCAGATAAAGGCCAAAGAAGGAGAAATAGGACCATGAGCCTTCCTCAGCAGCTGAAGACGTGGCTGGGGCTGGAGGGACCAGTGGCTTTCACAAGGTGCCTCTCATCTCGGATGTCAGTCTGATTATTTGCAAGGATTTCCATGTCCTTGATCAGCTTCACCTTTCCCAGAATTCTCTTCACTCCTTTCTCTTCAAATGTAAGGAGTCTAAATCCGGGGATGAGCTATGAACAGAAGGAGTCAGGAAGAGGCGGATGGGCAAATGACAGCATTAAGGGAGGCAGTGATGCAGTTCTAACTTGAAAATTACTTCTTGAGAATACATGACACAAATCATATGCTAATTGCATGCAAATTACATCCAGATCCTCTTGAACCCACCTGTCTTTTTCACCTTCTTTTGTGTGGCCCCTGCAGTTGAGGCATAATCAAGTCCAGATGGGAATTTTGTGGAGCTGGAGGAATCTTTGCCTACCTTAGAGTGGATAAGATGGTCTTGAAAATAAACACTGGCATATGGTCCCAATAAAAGTCCCAGAAAATAGGCCAAAAAGAGACCATTATTGGGCACACATTTATTGGGGGGAAAAGTATTGGGCAAACATCAAAATGAATGGGATTTGGTCCTCTACTCTTATGTTGATTATAATCTAAAGAGGGTAAGAGACATTGTATTAGTCATTTTCCCGTGCTGGGACAAAATGTGCAACACAAGCAGTTTGAAGAAAGAGAGGTTTACTTTGGCTCAAGGTTTCTGAGGGTTCAGTCCATGGTCAGCTTGCTCTAAGGCAGAACAGCATGGTAGAAGAGCCTAGCAGAGAAAACTGTTCATCCCATGGTGGTCAGGAAACAGGGAGAAAAGTGAGGAGCTGGGAATACACCCTTCCAGGTCACGTACCTCTTCCAACCTGGCCCCACCTTCTAATAGCACATTCATCTGTGAACTTTCCAGTGGATTGATTAATCCATGATGGATTGATTAATCCACTGATGGGTATAGCAACCCCATGATTTTTATTGCCTTCCAAAAGTCCCACCTCTGAACACATGAAACTTTTAGGGGTACATTTTAGATCTAAAACCATGGCAGACATGTACCCCAACATCTATAATGTCAAATTGAGTTCTACAAGTGCTCTGCTTTTTCTCCATATTCTTTGTTTGTCAGACAGAAGGTTATTTTTGAGGTAAAAATCAGAAAACAGTCACAAGTCACCAAATCCCACTAATCAAAATGTAGCATCAGATTAACACTGACGAAAATGTAACCTTGTGTTCACATTTGGTGAACACCATCCCAGACACTTCTGCAGGAATAGTCAGATAGGACGAACCGACACATGATATCCTTTTATAAGCAGATAAAAGGTTGGTCAGAAGGATTGAATAGACCCACGAGAGACTCCAGGTGTGGCTAAGGACCAGGGAAGTAGCTCAGAGTAAGACCACTCGCTAGAGTTCCACAAGCCCAGTGAAGTGAAAAGGCAGACGCAGCAGACAGAGGTCGTCACAGAGACCTTGGGGGAGCCGAAAAGGTTCCAAGGCATAAATTCTGGCTTTTTAAAAATGCATTCAAAATGTGGCCACAAGAGGAGGAGCTGGCCTGTGGCTGGAGGAGACGTCAGGGTATTCAGTGGCCTCCCAAGTCCTTGTCTGATGTTGCCTCTGGGAGCGTCAGCCTTGGCCACACCAAGGGTCCGTGTAGCTTATTTATAAATACGCTCCTCTTCAGCCTCATCTTCTGCTTCCGGTGACCTCTGTCGTGGTACAACCTGTACCAAAGAGAGCACAGAAATGGTAGCCAGGCAAGATGGCAGATGTGGGGAGACCCTGGGTTTGATGCCACAGGCTGCCACTGGTCAAGAGAGATAGGAGGGGAGCTTCTTCCTGTACCAGGTGGGCTGTCATCAGGAGGCCGAGCCCAGGGTGGATGTGTGATGGGCCTCTGAAGCTGGTCATCTAGACAGATATATTTATATAAAAATAGAAGGCCAGGTGATTTACCAGGGGCTGAGGCCCGTCTGTGTGAGGCCATCGAGCAGCGCGCTCACAGAGAACTCAGGCCTCTTATGCAAGGCAGGCTACTGGGTAACAGGAGATCCATAGGTAAAAATAAAGTCAGGTGGCCCGGTTCTGGTCCCATTTTTGTGATAACCAGCAGTAGAACTCGCACGGCTGCAGTGTCTCCCTTTATTCCTCAGAAGCATCTGTCAGGTCACAGGATTGTCCTTGAAAGCCAAAGGTCTGGTTCGCTCTTCTATGGCTGAGAGGGCTTGGACGTCACTTAACCTTAGTGTGTCTCACACAAGGTCAGTTGGACTCTTCTGGGACAGGAGATGGGGAATTTCTTTCCAGTCTGCCTCACATACCATATAAATGCTTGTCACTAATATCCTACAAAGCCCTCCTGCTCTTGAACTGCATGGTCCCACTTCCTAGGTAGTAGGAGATGAGGGTGCTGGAGAGAGGTGAGTGGCTCAGCTGAGCTTGGGGCCCTGGATCCTCCTGGCCACCTCTCACTCCCTGGGCCAGGAGGACCCTTACCTGCTCACGGACTTCAGTTCCTTACCTTTAAAGATAGAGATGCCACACTGTTTCTAAGTTTAAATCAGTGCATAAAATTGTTGTTTTCCCACCAAAATTTAGATGTTAGAGTCTCATCTAAGATTGAGGGGTTCAGACTCTTCTCTCCCTGCAGAAGACAACACCCAAAGCACCATAGATAGGTTGAGGTTGGACCAGAACTTGTAAAGGAGAGATTGAGGAGGCCATGTGCGTTCCGGTGACCTGCATTGCTGACTAATGAATGCGCTGGAGATTGCAGGGTTGCCTGTGTGGTTATGCATACGTATACTCCTGCGTTGGGGCGGTGTCTTAGTCCATTTCCCATTATTATAACACAATATCTGAGGCTGGGTGACTCATAATAAAGTGAAGAGGTTTCTTGAGCTATGATTTTGGAGGCTGAAAGTCCAAACCGAATGGCCCACTACCTCATTTCCTTCTAAGGACCATACCCTCTATGATCCGATCTCGTCCCACTGGACCCCTGCTTTTAAAGGTTCCACACCACCTTCCAACTCATGAGCCCATGGGGGCCGCATTCACACCATGTCCAAGCCATAGAGGCCACAGTTTAAAACTAGAGCTCCCTAAAAATCCTACAACCTTGTAAGGCATCATGAGAATGGACTTCCCATAACTTCACTCGATAACAAATCTTTGGCAATCTAATTTTACCCCATCCCCGACACTTATCTCTCTGTTCCCCCACCCCTTCCCTAAAACATGGTACCTGTTATATCCTTGGCACTACATGAAGGGATTAGCAACTGTTCCTCATCTCCCACTCTGCCTAGAAGGTTTTCATGTTCCTACAAAGCTAGAACAATCCAGGAGGCACTTCTCTCTTCTGTCTCTCTCTCTCTCTCTCTCTCTCTCTCTCTCTCTCAACTAAATGTAATTAAGAAATAGGACTAGTAAAACCATTGGGTTGTTAGCGCCACTGCCTAACAAGTCAATGTTAATGTACTGTTAATGGATCTATGGCCAACCAGTCCCAAGGGGAATTTGAGAGCAGATTTGCCAGTCCTGCTGTTGATTGCCCAGGTGTTCCTGAAAGGATGCCTGGCTCATCCCCAGAAAGCTCACCTTCATCCATCAGCAGAGTCAACAGATGTTATGAGCATGAATCCAAGTTGCTCCCATATCCTCCGCGTCTAATGGAAGTCAGACGGTAGGGTCCAGGGAGAGTCAGGCGGCAAGCCGAGTGAAAACTCAGCAACAAGATGAAGAGAAACAGGAAAGCCAGGGTCTCCACCCAACTCATCAGGCTGGCCACTCCCAGAAAAGGAATACCACTCTGTACGCAGGGTGGATGGGCAAAGAGTATAGGGATGGAAGCAATTATTCTATTTTGTACTTTAATTAGTTTGAATTAGCAGAGGGAATAGAGGCATAAAATGATCCAGCGAAGGGTGAAATGGAAAAAGGGAGTCAGAGTGGAGAGTGCTCCACGCAGGCTGGAAAGAGCCCTGGGAACAGCAGCGAGGCTGGCGAGGGGTGGGCATGATGGAAGTGGGTGGGGATGTGGGATTCTGCTGTCTATTTCGAGGCCTGGAGAAGCAGAGTAGCAGCCCACTGGCTAAGAGCTGCCTGTGCAAGTGAGACTCACCTCCACTGCATAGCCAATCACAAAGTATGTGACTTTGAGAAAGTTCCTTA